TACTTTATGTTATTAGCCCTCATTACACAGAATAGTGGAAAGTATAAGGCTCAAAACTTAATTTAAAAGGCCATGTTTCAAGGAACGGTCTTCCATCAATAGATACACCATTTTCTATGAGTCAGAGTGACACAAACGTCTTCACACTTGTTTCTAGGAAGAGCATATGTCTAAGCAGCTAAAGAATTTTAAACGCCAACAAGTTTAAAGCCATCTGGCAACACTAGGCTGCGTTGCCAATGCTTTCGCTGGGCAGATTGCCTATGGGTTAAGTGGCGTTGGCCCTACACCTTTTTATGGTTGTCAAGGTTCTTTTCCAAGAAAGCAGAAACTGCAAAGCCCATTACTTTTGCCTGAGACCGACAAGCTTTCCTAACAGACACACGGAGTAAAGAATTTAAAGGTGCCTCTGTGGCAGGATTATCTGTGAAGTAGGTTGCTCCCATATGATGACGGTAAGCCAGGTAAGACAGTCAGCCATGTGAGGTGTTTTTTGCAGAGCTAGCTTTTTCCAACTTTTACTTTATGCACAAATACAAACAAAAAAACAGGCATAAACAGCCAATTTTCATATTGATGTATTCATCATTAAATAAGATAATAATGCTACTTTTAATATCTGGTAGTTTTGACTCTCGTCAAATATTTTGCAACATGATTTCAAATATGCTTTGAGAAAGCAAAACATTGAAAGGAGCATTAATTGCCTTAGTAAGCTGATATCATAAGAGAGTCAATGGACTTAAGGAATGATAATTAGTCTCATTAATTAGTGTAGGAGGTGAGAATATTCACTGTGACTGGGATTCAGTACATTCATTTGTAAAACAAACATTTATATACGTGTGTATGTGTGTGTGTATATATACAGCATGCACCTTATAAAAGAAAAGTTTGAAGTGTCACAATATTCTTACTCAGTGTCACTAAAATCTGTGTTATCAGTGCAGACAAATAATTGGTATAAAAAGAATAGTTGGTGTTCTCTGTTCACTAAAGCATGTTTGTGTTGCATTAAACCACTGGTGTGTATCAGTGGTTCAGCTTTATTAATGGCTCAGTTCCATTAGCGTGCTAGCTTGTGCAATGCATGTTGTGGCCTTGAAGTGACACACGTACATGGGATTCATCTTATAATGACCCGTGGCTATTTAAACTTGTTAAATAAGTCAAAATGTCAGATCTTGTATCCGTATTTGAAAATTCTACGACACTATTAACGGACAATAATTTCTCAGATCCAATTCTGATGTCCATTTCATCAATAAAAAATATTAATATAAGACCTGGCCCTAATACCAGCCAAGTCATAGATAAGGGGACTTGATAATCATTTTATCACATTGATATATTAAAGCTGTCCCTCTTTGCTTGTTTCCCCATTATCCTAATTGAGTACAAATTGGTTAAGAGGGTGCAGCATAGCCATCAAGCTCCTTAGTTTTATCAGATGACAATTTAAGCTCCTGGGATCCTATTAGGAAGAAAGCGGCTAATGTTTAAAGGCGCTGTGTCAGCTTACAAGGGGGAAAGGGGGATGGTGAGCACCAGGGGTATGACAGGGAGACAATGGAAAGGGAGGGTAAAACGCTGGTCATGTGATCAGTTTGAACGTGAAGGAAAAGCTTACAGTGTCACAGTGTACAGTCGTAGATGTGCTGGTTCAATATCAATATCTTTTTTTATTTTTTACTTGAAAAGGAATCTTTATTCAATCCCAATGGTTCCAATTTGAAAAAGTAAAAAATATGTCTAATGTCTGTAAAAACAAAAAGATGAACTAAAACAATTCATATAGTCAACAGAGGAGGACAAGCAGGTATCAGTGTAGAAATTCTAATCCTAGATTATGCAGTATGTCCTATAATGTGGTCTATAGGTACAAGCAATTCAAAATGGCTGCCCAAGCAAGGTGCACACACATCCAGGGGAGAAAATGGATTGACAGTACTATACTTCTTTTGTGTGCTTATTTTAACCCAGTGTTTGTCCTACAATGACGTATAGGTCGGGAAATAATATATCATTGGAGCAATCATGTATATATATCTTTTAATCTTTCAGCTTGTCAAAACTGTTAACCACCTCCACTCATCCAGATTACAGGACCTGTATTGCCCTATGGTCTTCTTCTTCGTTAATTGGCAGGTGGCAACCAACATCAAGGCATCAACGCCATCCACTTGGTGTTTCAATATCCGACTTCTTCTTCTTCCCCATTTGGTACTATATCTCTTATTACCCTTAATAGCAAGGGGGCCACCCGCCGCTGGGCAAAGGAAAGAAGAACACAGACACACAGTAGATGGCGGTAATGCACCTTGATGTTAGTTGCCAACCGCCACTAAACTGAACAAAAAAGAACACTGTAAATTAAGCAAATGAGTTCTGACTCATGAAGTTGGCAAATTAATTTCAAGAAAGATTTGTGAGGTTGGATTGAAACATTGAACTTGTTTGGTCAAACACTGAAATTCATGTCACCGGATCTTTGAAGGTTTGAGCAGGTCCAGTTTATTTCTGATGAACAGTTAGAGTCCACTTCTCCTCTGCAGTCTGCTTTATCTCTGTCACCGTGGCCTGGGCTTTGGTTTTCAGTGTATCTGCATCCATGTTTTGAAGCTGATGGAGGAATGGATCATTGGTCTCTTCTTCCTCATCTTCACACACCATTTTTGCAAGGTCCTCTTGGAGGTCAATGTCATCTCTGGCCATCTGAAGTGTGGCAGTGTCTTGAGCGCTCTGTGAAAATAGTTGTTAAACGTAATTACATTTATAATAACATTAACATTCCAGTAATGTTTCCTAGACAAAGAGAATGCACATATAATTTTGCACAAAGTTTTTTGTGGGTTTTGAATAAATATGTTCCATCCATCCATTATCTATACCACTCTTAGATTTGCCCTCTCAGCCTTTTTCCTTTAAAACACACACATTGTATGTAAGACAGTCAGCAGCAGAACATTGTATATTTGAATCATAGGTAAAACTTGTATTGGACACTTAATACAAGTTAAGCTAAATGTGATATCTTTCTTCAGATGAACAGTTATTTTTATATTTACAGTCTGTTTGATGCATAACTGTTTGCACATTGTAGCATGTTTGAATGTGTCCCAAATCTCTTTATCCTCACTCCACCTTGTCCAAGAAGCCTAAGCTCAAACAAGTGTGTCCACGCATAAGCACAGTATATTAAAAGGTTAGAGGGTAGACAAAGAAGCAGGTGGCTTTGAGTAAAGCTTTCCTTAAAGATCAGTGTCTTGTCATCAGCAGCATTACCAATAGGCATTACCACATTACAGTAATGTTGTTAGCAAGGGAAAACAATTGACACCAGCAACACCAGAGCAGAGTCAATGAGCTCACTCTATGAAACATTATCTTATTAATCAATTACTCACACGTTACTGTTTGGGTGTGGTTAGACAAGCTATTTACTCGTCCTCATCCTTCTATGTCTGTGTGGATCTGTGAGAATAGGAGAAGACTACTATCTTGTTGTTTTTTTTATCCTCGCCACAGTTGCAGTTTATTCTCATTTTTACTCTCAAAGTTATGAGGGAAGAAATAGTTCTTACATCTTTATACCTTAGAACAGGTTGACTAAGATTTGCAGTTACTTGGTGTCTGTAAGTTCTTTGACAGCGCTGCACTTCCACTTCTGTGCTCAAGACTCTGTGAGAGTTTTGTGCTACAGTCATCACTGTCTGGATACTGCAGATGACCTGAAACTGTGAATGAGTCACAGACCTAGATACTGACTCTTAGAAAAAACAAAATGTGGACTCTCGCACCTTATTCCTAATATTGTAATCGACGTATCTATTATCACCCAGACCCTAGTTTTGACATGTCTGTTTAATCAACTGTTAAACAGACATGTTTAAAAAATATAATTTTAAAAAGTCGACAAACTTCTGAAATATTAGGAGAGAAGATACTGTCTAATATGTTTAACTTTAATTTCTATCCAGATGTGGAATAGAGCTTGATTAATGGTCAAATGAAATTCTAAATGATAAACAAAACTTAGTGAAATCCTTTGTCACAGTGATTTTTACTAAAATGACCGACATGTCATTCAGTTCACAGTTTCAGTTGGACAGTGAGACCCTAATGTCATTAAAATCTGCCTTTTTACGTGATAATTGAAGATAACTAGCACATCTGCATTACCTGAGAGTTTAAGGTGATTAAATAATAATTGTTTTAAAGCGCACTGCCTAAGAGATGTGTTTAATGGCACTTCTTGAAACTGAGCCCTGATGAGTTATTGCACACGGAGCCTAATCTGCTTCTCTGGCTAATTTGAGCGCAGAGGAAATAAACCCCCACCTAAAGCTACCTTTTAAGCCTGGCTCGCATCCGTTGATGTCACACATGCATCACATAACGCCATAGAGGGAAGCTAGTTCAAACTGCCTAATGCACGCCTGCACACTTATCTAAAGAACTGTCAATCAATCCATTTCAGTTGTTGTGGGTTTGCTACAAGCAGTATTGCTATTAAATCAATAACACTCATCGTATTGTAATACATTGTGCACAACTCAAATTGTTGAATTTTGTGGCAGATAAACCACATCTGGAGGAGTTTGCTAAAAAATGATCCAGAAGAGATGTAGCAATACATATGATTTAAAAAAAAAAAAACTGAGATGGATGGATGATCATAATGTCTCTTAACTTCTTTGAGTTTGAATTAGAAGGAAATCCTGAGCCATGTAGTCTGTCTTTCAGTTTCTTATTACACCTGCTGGTATCTGAAGAAGTTAGAATTTTTAGTTTGTGTGTTTTTATGTAGGTGGTTCTGAGACAAACATGAAGCAGGAGCCTACTTTAAGTAATACTCATCACACCTGCTAATCCCTGCTTATGGATATTTAGGTCATATTTTCTATGCTATGCAATTCACAAAGCCCATTCTCACATTAATTATACGCACTTTTGTCCATGGAATATCAGATCTCAGTATTATCTTTTAGGCAAAGTCCATCTTCTGACAGACACAAAAACATTGAGACATTTTTTAACATTATTTAAGATTCATGCTGTGCATAAGGAAAGTCAATTTACAAAGCAGCTTTCATACACAGAGATAGATTCATGGTGCACAATAGATTTTAAGCAGGACTTCAGTTTACTTGTTGTTCAGTCATAAACATGATTTTCTTTAGCAGTGTAGCCAGTCGTCATATTAGCATCTTTGCTTACTCACTTTTCTTCCACCAGCTGCCTCTGGTACTCTTCAAACTCCTCCCTGGATAAGCCTTTGGATTCTGGTGTTTCCTTCCCATGTGTTTCTGCTTCGTCATCTTCATCTTCCTCCTGTGGTGAAACTTTTCAACTTTACCCCCCCAATGCCATAGCTATCTTCAAATAGACATGATTTAATCCTACAGGGATGACGGGAATCGATGGCTGCAGGATAAGTATAACGTAAAAATCTAATCTTGATGTCTAAATCAAGAAATTAACAACAAGAGACACTAACTATTCAGACTTCTCGAAGAGAAACCTTTGCTATTGTGTGCCGAGATGATCAGACTGTATCAATAACTTGTGGCAGGCGTAAAACCTCTCAAGAGCTTAGCTCATAATTGGCAGCCAACAGACAATGAAGAGTCTTTGTACAAGATGCAGGAGGAAGACCCTCAGGATGAAGGCCGCTGTCTGCATCCCCATTAATTACCTCTGCCAAGGTTAGGTTTGAGCCTCTGTCCATTGGTTTGTGTGTTTGTTTTATTTATTGGTTTCCGCTGACTCCAAAACACATATCTCAAACAACACCTGGGTAGATGCCTGAAAGTCAAATATGATTTGATAGTGACATTTGATGGTGTCAATCTCACGCTCAGCTTCAGCAGTTCAACAGCACAGTTTACACCAGTTAAAGTTCCTGATGGGATTCTGGTCACTTGTAGATTTGTAACTGTAACTTAAGCTGACTCAAGTTGCACTAAAATGCTTAAAATCTCACTGATTAGCTTCATCGTCCTCCACCTTCGTCATATTGTCCTCATGAGACTCAGTATTTTAAGAACACAGTTGACTTAACACCTCAGTGACCTAAAACCTTTGTACCAACACACAACTAATAAGGCTGTGCACGTTAAGCTTTTCGGATTTACATACAATCACATATAGGATCTGTTTAAATTATTCTCCACTCAGACAGACTGAAGTCACATTATTCAACTCTAAGAAGGTATTGTAACATTGACATTTATAATAATATAAAAACATTCATTTTAGATAGCAACTTACAAGGAAATAAAATCCATTAACCCTTCACAAAAAATATACAGTTAAAAAAAAGAGAATAAAATAAATAAAACAAACCATTGGACAAAGACACAAAGCTGATGTTTACTGTAGAAAAGTGACTGTTGGAAAACTTGTTCAGCTGCCAAGAGAAAAACAACTGGACTTTCCGACCTATTGGATATGCTGACTACTGGTGGCTGAGTTCATGCACTATGACAAGGGCTAACATTTCATAAGGTGATTTTTATAACATTTATTACTTCATTTATGTGTTTATTTAATTTATCCAAGTACCAATCAAATGTGAGAATGTCCCTTTTAATAGTTCTCTTGAATTACTACTGTCATGTTATTGATTTGATCCTGCTGCTGTGCTCTGAGAAACTTGAAAAACTTGAGTAGGATTCATTTCAGATCAGTCCTGTCGTCCCATAAAGACAGCAAACACTTCTCTTCTGTCTTTTTTCACAGTCTGTTAGGACCAACAATGAAAGAGATGGAGACAGGCTCTCATCAGTCTGAGTTGGACTCAGAACCTCAGGAAATTCAAACATACCACAGATGTAATATTGTGGCTTTCCTGAAGAGAAACACTTTTGTTGTTCTCACAGTTACAGCTGTTGCATCAGGTAAGTGGTCGTCAAACATGCTGCATATGTGGACATTCTGCTTTTATCCACCACTGATCTGTTTTGACACAATAACTCACTAACCTTTGCTTATGCTTCTTTGAGGAATTGGCCTGGGCTTTGCTCTACGACCCATTAACATGTCAGACAGCGATATAAGATACCTAATGTTTCCTGGAGAGCTGCTGATGAGAATCCTGCAGATGCTGATGCTTCCTCTCATCGTTTCAAGTCTGATATCAGGTAAGATGCACACTTCAGCCTGGTGAAATTGGATTTTCAGGCTCTCGACAAAAACACGGTTTGACCCACATTTCATGTCGTAATAGCTCCTGTTAATAATCAACATAGTGGATAAACACAATCATGGCTGGAGTGTCGTCTGTGTGTAGAATGAGGCTCTCAATGATGGTAGCTATTACCACTATAGAGAATAAACCCATTTAACATCCTGTATGCAAATTTCCCAATGTGGATGAAGAAATATCTGTTCATAGTTCCATTTTTCCATTGTATGATTAGGTATTTTGATTTTATCTCGTTTATTTTTTAATACTCTGTTATAAATGTCAAAATAATGTTTAAAGACTGTATAGATTTATATTTACATTTTACTTTTTGAATGAATGAATCAGGTTTTCAACCCAATAAAGAACTGATCGCATAATTCAACAGATTTATATTTATACAGTATATGAATGTAAACTTGTTGCACCTTCTCTTTTCATCAGGCCTGTCGTCTGTGGACAGGAAAGCTTATGGGAGAATTGGTCTGAGGGCATTTTGCTACTACATGCTCACCACACTTATTGCTGCATTCACTGGTATAGTTTTAGCCGTCATCATCCAGCCAGGGAACTGGTCCAGGAACACCTCAGCCTCCTCTGGTGGTAGAGCGGAGGCTGTGCAGAGCGTGGACGCTTTTCTAGATCTAATCAGGTTTGTGTGGTGATAATCACAAACTAAGAGGGATTTCTAAGGGTACAGTTTGATATCAGCCTCCAAAAACACCTCATATATGTTTTTATTTACAGAAACATGATCCCCTCAAATCTGGTTGAAGCTTGTTTCAGAAAGGTGAGATCTGCCGTGGCTATGATTTGTCTTCATACTGATACTCTCACACATTATTACTGACTTTCAACATCTGCTTGTTCTCCAGTTTAAAACTGTTTATTCCAGAAGTGTTTCTACAGGAATTAGTATCACTGAGGCCAGTGTTAACAGTGAGATTGCTCTTTTTTTTTAACTGCTGTATATAATTTTCATTATTTTTATTAACATTGAAACAATATAATTTCATCACTTAATTTGCTGTCATCATTTGGACCCTGTAGATTACACTGTACCAGTGCCGGGCTCGTCAGATGGTAATAATATGTTGGGGCTGTTGGTCTTCTCTGTTGCCTTCGGCCTCATTCTGGGCAGCATGGGGTCACAGGGGAAACCTCTGAGGGATTTCTTTGACTGCCTTAATAAAGCTGTTATGCATCTGGTCAACATATTCATCTGGTAAGCACGAAAATCTCACATTTAGATGAACAGCTATGTTTGATTATTTGTAAATTATCAGGATTATTAAACTTGGTGGAAGGATGCAGTATGGGTCAGGAAAGGACCCAGTGCTGTGCTATATAAATGCTCGTTTTTCTTTATCTTTATCTTTGTTACAAGGTTTTGTATATGTAATATGTGCCATGATTCTGCCCTGAACCCAACCTCTGAAAGTATATTTTGGTTCTGTTTTATAGACTCCTTAGTTATGGACATTTTCCTTCTTTATAGATTTGTATTAATTCTGTGTTTCCTGTTTTATTTTGAATTTCTGATCTCCCTCATGAGTTTCTGTTCCTTTTACTTCCTGCCTTTGTGTGCGTTTCCGTCCAGTTTTGAGATCTGGATCTGTTTCACCTGGTTGTCCTGTGTCCTATCAGTTCAGTTTGTATTTAAGTCAAGTCCTCAGTTCTGTCTTTGTTGAGTTGTCTTTCTAGTCTTTGCCTGTATTGTCTCTGTCAGCTTCAAGTTCTGTATCCTGCATTGTTTTTCCTGAATGTTTGAGTTTTTACTTTCCTGCCAGGCCTTCCCTATGTTTTATGTTTTCATTAAATTCTGTGTTTTGTGAAGTGGACTTAGATATCCAGCATCCTCATGCCATGAACAACAAATATCTCTATGTATAGAGCCTCCTTCATTTTCTCTGGACGGATGTGTCTCACTTCTGTGTATCACAGGTATTCCCCTGTAGGAATCCTCTTCCTGCTGGCAGGGCAGGTTGTGAAGATGACAGATACAGTAGAGATAGGCCGGGAAGTTGCGATGTATGCTCTCACTGTGATAGCTGGCCTGCTAATTCACAGTTTCCTCACTCTGCCCCTCATCTATTTTGTTGTCACATGGAAGACTCCCTTCAGATTTATGAGCGGTGTCCTGCAGGCTCTCGCCACTGCCTTTGGGACTTCATCAAGGTGAGCCAGTGTGTTCAAATCAAACATAACGGTTCGACGTTGTTAAAACGTCTTTGCTCCTCTGTGTTTTCACAGCTCCGCAACCTTACCTGTAACTCTCCACTGCATGGAGGTAAATCATAGCATGTGAGTGTGAGTCAGTCTCATCTGTCAGTGTCACAACATTTTACCCCATTTTCACAGCATCAAATTACTACTCAAACCAAACCTATCAGAAAAACTAACTCTTGAAGATTCATCAGTGTGATAAGAGCTAACTAAAATAACACATGACAATGACATGTATTCATTACACATGACCTATATTGCAGCCAGACAGATGCTTTGGCTTCACTTTTGGGCATCCATGATATTCTACAGTCTGATGTATCTTAGCACATAACTCACTGCAGGTTTTTCATAGGGATCACTCTGCCACCACCTGGTGGTAGGAAGGTCAATGACCCAGTTAAACATGCTATACATATAGGCCTTTATTGAACTGTTCAATATTTATGGTACAACATTTCATGGAATCAAACACAGCACACTGAATGCCTGGAACTGGAACTATTGTGGTATGAGTTAACTCTGCAAAAAGCAAACATCAGAAGTTCATTTCACCTACTGACGATTAAAAACATCTTCTGACAGTGAAGCACTCAAAACAAGACAATAGTTCAGAGAGCCTTTCATTGAAGCAAGATGTAAAAACCTGATGCTGTCCTGGACCTGCAGGAAAACAAATGCTTTCAGTCACATGTGGACATATTGTAGTATTTTACTGCTGTTGTGGCGTTAAGAAAATGTTTTATCATGCACCTGGGAGAAGAATATGAAAACTGGCTGCTCCCATCAACGGGGTGACAAGTGCAACACCAGAGAGAGCCAGTCTGTGTTTACTGACATTGGCCTGAGCTCAGTGCAGTTGAGGAAGGAGAGGGAGGGAGGGATGGGGGAGGAAGGGGTGAGCGTCACGGCTCATGAGATGAGGAGGGGTTTCATCAAGGGGGAGAGAGCTTAGAATAAATGGTGAGAAAAAGCGAGAGAGAGAGAGGAGCTGTGTGCGTGTGTGAGGTTGAGAGGGAGAGTAGGGGGAAGATGCTGTTGCCTGGAAACAGCGGTGAAGTAGAAAACTCTGTTTTCCAGCTCGTATGAAGATTTTCTCACAGGAAACGATGGATGCAACATGGACCGACTGTGAGGAAAAAGAAAACAGCTGATTGTGACTCCGGACGGCCTCCAGGGAATCAAAGAGAAGGTAGGCATGTGTGATTACGTAACGGCCATAACACAGCTCCAACACGGGTGACATCATCACAGCAGGATTAGAGCCCTGGGGTAGGGGCATTATGAGTCTGTGGAGGGAGGAGGAGAGGAGCAGGAGTATAAATGAGAGGGAGTGATCATCATGAGACAAGCTAAAAGCTCTGAGTGAGGATTATCTTTTGTCAAAAAACAAAACAGCACAGAATCTGTCCGGAAGAGGAAACACTGAAAAGATGAGAGCAGGATGGTGTCTGACGTGTGATGACCCTGCCTCTCCTCTCCTCTCTGCAGGAGGACAGCACGCTTCGTCCCTCAGTCTCCATTAGCAGCATCAGGATACAGTCTCGTCCCACCTGCAGATGTAAACAGTGATGACGCTCACCTGGAAGCAGCAGCTCTAAAAAAAATTTTTTTAAAAAGAGAAGATCTGAAAGCAAAAGAAAGGAAGGTCTCAAACACAGAAGAGCGTCCTCCCTCGCTACAGCATGTGAGTACTCTGTCTTCTCCATGGTAACAGCTGGATTAGATGTTTTTCTTCAGGGTGGCCTGCGCTGGTGCGAGGCACAGAGGAAACATTGTGTTCAGATGATGGTTCATTCTGCTTCAATAGGTGAATCCATTTGTAAAGGAATGTCTGGCAGTGAAATGGACTTTCTCATTCAGCCTCTTAGTTCGAATAAACATTCATGTTGTCAAGAGGTGAAGTGAATGAGCTCCTCCTTGGATCCTTCACCCCCACCAAAAAATTCCAGTAGTTATTGCATAATCCAGCTAACGTGTGGAGGTAACTAATATACCTATAGCAAACATATGAGCAAGTGTAGTTTCTGTTTGTTGGGCATCTACGGCAGCTTTCTTTCCTTCTCTGAGGCAGATTTTCTGCTTTCAGGTTGGATTGGCAGAGCAGCAGTGAAACTCTGTGCTCACAAGTTAGTGTTGGGTAAATGAAGGCAGCTCTGCCATCTGGAACACAAATCCCCAACAAACACGTGCTGCTGCAACATAAATCATCATTGTGCAGTTCAGTGTATGAGCAGCTGAGCCTCGGCGAGAGAGACATCTGCACTGACAACAAACCTCACGCTCTGATCGGTCCTTTCCGTGTGAATTTTCTGCCTGGTTCTCAGTCGCAGTCACACTCCTTCATTCTTAATTTAGAAGTGGGGGGAAAGATCAATCTCCTCCCATGATGCTTTTTAAAAGATTATGTGTGTGAGAACAGACGAAGTTGATTTAACCAGAAGGCTCTTATAAAAGTAGCAGTTAATGAATTCCCTGTTAAGCCCAACAACACTCGAGATAACTCACTGTAAACACCAGTGCTCCAGTCACATGCAGCCTGAGGCCCTGAGCCTTTTAGTCCACATTTGCTGTATTTCCATATGTGCTCTGATGTGTGCCGCTACAGCACATCAGTGCCGTCCCAGTGGACAAATGGACTGTGGTAACGTCTGCTGCAGCCTGAACTCTGACTGGGACAGCGATGCAGGAAGGACACTCCTCCCCCAAACGCACATTTCTGACACAAAGCTGCCATTCGATGGATATGAAGCTTCACGTGACGTGTCAGGAAACGACATGAAACTTAAGTTGGAGCCTTCTGGCATCTCTGATTAAATACGGCAAGGAGGTCATGTTTTCAACCCTGTCCTTTTGTTTGTTGCTTTGTTTGGACGGAATAGTAATTTTATTGGAAGGATGCAATTTGGGTCAAAGAAGAACCCATTAGAGTCTTGTGCACATCCAGGAATGTTTTATCACTTTCTTTAACCTTGTGAGATCGGACATTTTCACTTATTTCCCAGGGAATGGTTAATAATTAACAATTTAGAATTTTATATATTTGACTGTTATATTTTGCCTGGCAGAGGATTGGGATCAACTGAGTGCCATTCTAGTTTGGTTATGTAAAATATGGAGGTTCAGATCACTATCTGCTTTATGCAATCACTTGTGATTTGCTTGTTTCACCCTGAGGGGCTGTATGAGCAATGTGGAGTTTTATTTTTATCTCCTGCCTCAGGGATGTGGAGGAAACAAACCCAGTGGGGTTTAGTTTTGCCTAATTTTCACTGCACATTTACCCACAATAGAAATACACTTGGATTAATAAGATGAATAGATTTTGTACTTGTTTCTACATTTGTTATTTGGTATAGTGACAAAAAGATTGTTGGTTTGATTCCTCATAACACCAGTGCTGTGCTGCTGCTTCCAAGACGCATTAATTACAGTAGAAAGCTTTTACTTTATTGAAGGAACAAATCAAGGGGATAACTCAAGGTGAGAAATGAAGCAGAGGCTGATGAGAGAAGTGTGATACTGTATCCTACATTTCCCATAATACAACTGCATGATTTCTTTCTTTACACCCTCCCTGGCTGGTAAACACCCACGTCTTTTCAGCCTCCACACCTTCAGTTTGAGACTCTCAAGCCAAAAGTCAGTTAATCCTGATGAAATCACCAGAGTTGCACCCGATGTCTGAGATGGGTGGGGTGCTGCTCCAAGACAGCGTCATGTACTGTGTGTTCTCCTCCCTGGTTTTCTACTGAATGGCATTATTTCATATGTGTGTCAACCTCAGAGAGCTGAAGCCTGTCCTCCCCAGCAGAGGATGGGAACAGCAGAAGCCACTTTACGCATGGACAGCATGGAGGTCAAGGACGAGTGGCAGGACGAGGACTTCCCCAGGTAATCCTGCGTTTGTATAAGTGACAGAGAGGGAGAGAGTCTGCGTCTGTGTGCCCAGTTTGTCCGATTTGTGCTCAGCTTTAACAAACAGGCCACAGCAATGATCACCCGTGTGTGTTTAATGCCGAGGGACGGCAGGTGTGTTCTGTCCTGGATGTCGCTGTGTGTTACGTGAGCAGAACAGCAGACAGCACACAGGAGAAGTCAAACACATCAGTCTCCATTGTTGAAATAGTCCTCCGCCTACACTCTGACTGTCATCACTTCTACCGCAGAGGGAATGCGTGTTTGTAAAATGAACAGAGGAAATGGATTATTCACAACATATTTATTTCACCTTCATTTACATAAGCTATCATAACAGAACAACTTTATATTTCAAAAAAGAATTGGAACTTTAGGAACGAGAACTTCAGGAAACGAGATAAAACTTCATGGTAAATCTCATTTTTTGCAACTTTTATGTAATCTGAAATATATATTTCTGTTTGTGTGTGCTTTAATGAATTATATCTATGTTATATAAGTGAGTGCCACAGTGAAACACAAAAGAACAGTCTATCTCGTCTCCATTGTTTAATCCACTCCTTAATGTCTGTTGGTGCCGCCTTAAACTTACCTCAACAAAGCTACTGTCAACATAATAACAGCAATTAGTCAATCAACTAGTCCATACTTGTGGTGTTTAAGGGTGTGTGTGTGTGTGTGTGTGTGTGTGTGTGTGTGTGTGTTAAATATAGTCCTCTCTTCCCCCAGCATTGTGTGTTCAGTTGTCTTGATACTGTAACATTAGAGAGGTGATGGTAATTACTGGTGCTGTTCCCAAGGAAGACACAAAGAGCAAAATGTCAAGAAATACTGTTTAATTTAGCATCTTTTATTACACCATGTTTTTAAAATGCTAGCAATCAAAAAGACCGAAGCAACCTTTGACTAAGCAGCAGAAAAAAAAGAGAGGGTGCTGTATTTATGTCAGTTCATTTCTAATTTCTAATGTTTCTGTTGTTCTTGTCCATGTTTAATGTTCATGTTGTTCCGTGCAGGCCTCTACCAGAAGATGGAGATGTTGATTCTTCATGTGGCCTCACTGACAACAGAAAATGTAACTAAAATAAATAAAAAGCATTGAATATGATTGTTTTTATTGCTACTTCATGTTATATATAGACTTTCCTGCTCTGTTGATTTCAGATCCCCCCGTCACTCTGAACGTGGGAGAGACCGTGGCCCAGCACAAGCGTCGCACCCTGGTGGCCCCCGACATGAACCTGTCCCTGGATCAGAGCGAGGGGTCGGTGCTCTCTGATGATTTTCTGGAAACGCCCGACGACCTGGACATCAACGTAGACGACATCGAGACCCCCGATGAGACAGACTCGCTGGAGTTCATTAACAACGGCAACGAGCTGGAGTGGGAAGGTCAGACAGAGGTTGAATTATGCTGAGATGTTTCAGCATAATCACAAAGCACGAGGAGAAGAACAATAAGAGTAGAAGATTCACAACATAAAAACCTTCCTCAATGTTTAATTGGTTACATGAGTACATACGTTTTTAGCAGACAGGACGCCAAACAAACTGACCAACGACTTTCTTACATCACCCTGAATCCAGATGACACTCCGGTGGCCACCGCCAAACGTCTTCCAGGCGACAGCGAGGAGGAGAGAGACTCGTCGGGGCGTCTGTGGCGAACGGTGATCATCGGCGATCAGGAGCAGCGGATCGACATGCAGGTCATCAGGCCGTACCTGAGGGTGGTCACACATGGAGGTTAGTTAGAGTGTGTGTGTGTGTGTGTGTGTGTGTGTGTGTGTATGGGAGACAATACGGACATTTCTCTTTCTCTAACTTGTCTTTGTAAATACAACAATGGTTGATGTTATTGGAAAGCCACCATTGCTTTCCCTGGTGGCGGAGAAAACTTACATATACCTTTAATATTTAGAGGAGGAGATTTTCTGTGAGGCAACTCTGAAGTCATCTTTCTTACCGGAGGCAGTAATTCACCTCAGATGAATGTAAGATGGTTGTAGATGTAAAAGATAAAATCTGAATTAATCTAGATCATTGCTGCACAATGAAAAACCATCGCAGAAATGTGCATGCATTTCTCCCTCCTGTGCTGAACGTAAAAACATGTGTGTAAACCATGTTGGTGTCTGTTTATGGACTTGTACCAGTTATTGAGTGTCAGTATTCACCAGTTCTGATTTCAAAAACTCTGTCAAGCTGGACAAGCCCCAGAAACTGCATTCAGACTATCAAGTGACAACAAGAAAAATCAAACTTAATTTACATTGTCATTATTTATTGCAGAGAAAGCCTTGTGCCCCACATTAAAGTGATTTCACCCTAACAACCTTTTCAGTTTCTAAAAGACAACACTTACCGAGCAGCTGTGAGGAAATAAATAAATACATTTTAAGTGAGCAATGAATGTGTCAGAACTATTTTTTTTATTCTTTACACTCACACTTTTGTATTGTATTTTTTTTTCAGCTGATTGTGTGATTGATTGATACCAGCGGGCGTCTCCCTCCTCTTTCAGGTTATTATGGCGAGGGTCTGAACGCCATTATCGTGTTTGCAGCCTGTTATCTCCCTGACAGCAGCTGTGAGGACTACACGTACATCATGGAGAACCTCTTCCTGTGAGATTCATTCTACTCTACTCTGACAACAACACATTTTCATGAAGTTGTTGTTCATCGTTTTCCCACGACTGGAGAAAATGCTTCAATGAAACGTGCATGTCAGATCGTGTTTGAATAGATTATTAACTTTAAATAAAAGAATTTAAAGATGAATCAGTTTAACAACTTCTAGAATCCTTATTTTTCTGTCCAGCCCGAGCCCGATGTGAGTTTGTCTGTTCTGTTGTCAGATATGTGGTGAGCAGCCTGGAGCTCCTGGTGGCAGAAGATTACATGATCGTTTACCTGAACGGAGCAACTCCTCGCAGGAAGATGCCCGGCATCAGCTGGCTGAAGAGATGCTACCAGATGATTGACAGGAAGTAAGACAGATACACCCAGAGCAGTTTGGGAAACCGTGAGGGGAAAAGAAATGTTGGTGGAAGGGAATTAATGATGTTTAGATTGAAAATATCACAAAACACTTGAATGTCTCCTGCAGACTGAGGAAGAATCTAAAGTGTCTCATCATCGCTCACCCCACGTGGTTCATCCGGACCGTCCTCGCCATCTCAAGACCCTTCATCAGGTGAGCACGTGATAATGAGTTCATTCTCAAAAGGACAGGTCTGAAAGAACAGAGAGAGGACAGAAGATAAATGGACGTACCCTAACGCCATCACAAAACATAAGTGTTGCATCTGTGGAACTAGTTACATGTTGTTCTATGTTTTCTTCAGTGTGAAGTTCATGGATAAAATCCGTTACGTTCACTCACTGACGGAACTCAGTCAGATCATCCCCATGGAGCATGTGCAGATCCCTGAGTGTGTGCTGCAGTAAGTACTCTGAGCCAGCAAGGGTCAATGTTGAGTTGTCATGTTGCATGTACAGTTAATAAAAATGCTTAGTATAGAAAGAAATCAACATTTATTTTTAAGACTTGTGGCAGTCAGCAGGCATCTAAATCTACAGTGGAGTAAAGTCTCACAGAGAGAACAGCGGACCTGCATTTCTGTTTGATTTCGTTTTGATTTTGAAGCGAACTGTCAGTGGCTATACTTCAAAAGTCAGTAGCTTCAGCTGAGAGAGGCTTTGAATGAATAAACACAGTAAACAAGGACACGATAGAAAAGCAGAAGTGATCTTTCATTCATCTTCCGATGTGGCTTCTGTCTACCACCTGTGAGAAGTGTATGTTGTGACACATCATTTACAGATTTCTATCCTCCACGTTTAAAGGTATGATGATGAGAAGATAAGAGCACAGACGGAAAGGTGAGCATTGACGTTTTATGTGGCATTGATGCAAGTTGCGAAACATCTTCCTGCATGTGATTGTTATTAAAATGTCTTTCTTACAGACTTGAGCAAGATCAGCGGCAGAACAACTCAACAGCAGCTAAAGAAAGGTGACTCCATTTTGCAGTACATACACTAATATACATACAGTGCCATTCAGTGTGATTCAATAAAACATTATTCTGTAACAGCTGATGTGGAAAAACTATGTTTATAAGTGGTGATAAGACTTAAACCATTGAACTTTTACTTTACAGTGCAACTTCAGTTCTTTCTCTTATTTTATGTCATCCGTTCAGATTCTGAAATTAGGCCGCTATCTTTATTAGACGTCAAATGGGACGTTAAAGGCTGCATGGAAAATCTATTAGTCCGTGACTGTTCTCTTTAGGTTCAATAACATCGGCAGCTACGTAGATACATTTTGACAGCTCAGCCTAATAGGCTAGATTACTGAGCAGAGTATAAATGTACTAATGGCTTGACTCTAATATGTCACTTCCAGGCCAAAGTCAGTGATAGCAGATGTTGGCTGTGACATCTGACATTAAGGTAAGGGATCTTCTTTACTTAAGTACGTCTGCATCAGCTTCATACAGTCTGGTTTGTAATGTCAACCACTGTAACTAATCTTGAAGCATAACCATGCTTATGTGCACAGAAAGTAAACAATGCTGTAAATCACCTAAATGCTGGACGATGGTCTGTCTGCAATGTTGCGTCACTGAAAGGTCCAAAGGGTCGGTTCTCAGTGCAGGGACACCAAGATCCAATTTACAGTTTGGCAGAGTCAGCCAGAGCGAACGAGGGGATGAGTCGGACCTTAAAACTCGATGTTTTTATTTTGATACGTGAAATTATTTGAGTTTTAGAGTTTAAGTCCAATTTCAACTAAATCTCTTTTCATGATCTGATTCTGATTCCTGTGTTTCATCTCTCTCTCCTGCTTTGAATCTTAATCTGTCCCGACAATCAAGGCAATGAAATGCCAAAGAAAGATCACTTTTAAAAGGTTCTTACAGACAGAAGCATTTATTTCCTCGTGGTCTTTGTAACTAAGTTCTCTGGATGAAATCCTGAAGCACAAACAACACGTCTGTGCGATCCCTGTTAAATCCTGGAGTCCAGCTCATTTTCACCTCTGCCAAGTCATGTTTCACTTCTTTACATTCAGATTGCAAGAAGTGTCAGCTGATCCCTGGACATCATATTCCCTCCGTACTCTCTGTTACATAAGGCACAGCTGCTCATCTCTTTAAGCTGCTCCAACAACCGATCGACTCTATTTTTAATGGGATGCACAAGGGGTCTGGCAAATTGATCTGCACCTCTAGACCAACCCAGCGCAGCAGGTCGGGGTGGGTTATTTTAGAAACACCCCCCCCCCCACTTTGCACCACCCTGAGCTGCTGACTGTTCCTATCAACCTCCATATATCAAAAGAGCTATCAGCCGAAAGACTGGCCGACATCCCGGGAATGTTCACAGGCACCGTCTCTATCCAGAGGCCAGCGCAGGAAGCAGGAGAAAGATGAATAGTGGAACCTGTTGTGTGTCATGTTGGATCTAATTTAGTGCCGACCGACCCACTGCCAACCTGAATCATTGCATTTGAATCTTTTTAATTGTGGAGTTAAACCTTCTGTATTTGCATTGCAGGTTCTTAAATGGAAGAACAAGTGGGGGAACATTCATTCATTACTATAGGAGCCAACGCAAATCTCCTGACTGGATTCATTGGCTGCAAGACAATCGTTTTCAAAATGTCCTGCCAGCGCCTATAACTGAAAGTTCATTTACACCAAAGGCATCAAAAAACAAGTCAAACTAAATCCAAAAAAAAGTTTCTGCTCCCTGCATGACAAGGTGAGCTTTATCTCCAGCATGATTTCCATCATAAAAACAAATTTATGGACTTTCAAACAAGAGCTGGGAACGTTGTGTAAATACTTGTTTATATATTTTTGAGAGAGGTGTTTGCACAGATATTTTTTTTTTATATATGGATGATATGGAATAAGTATTGTGAAGTTTCATGAGTGTTTACTGAAAAATAATGTACAATGATATCGTTCTTGAATCTACAGTAGATGTTACTGATGCAAACGTGTTCCAGTTTAATATGCAGGTGGCATGCTCGTTCATATCCTCTCTGTCACATCTTAACGTCCACTTTTAAGTTTCTGCCATCATGTTTAAAAGACACTTTTACAAGACAGAAAGCATTACAGATAAACAAAATGAAATATATTTAAAGAGAGACTTTAATTCATTTCTATAAGTGTTATTTATGAAAATGTGCCATTTACTGTTTGTAAAAAAAATTAAATGAGTGAACTTTAAAGATGCTTTGTCGTGGCTCTTGTATCCAGCCTTCACCTCTGATTCAAACTACAGCCACAGTCCATATACATTTAAGAATAAACAGCCTAGTCCTTTCCATATACACTTAGGTATTAATATCCTTACACTGAGGTATGTTACTTATTACTTACTGATGCCTATTTTGACTCTGTAAGATATTTCCAAATTGTGGGACTAATAAAGTATTATCTTATCTTATCTTATACATATACAGCCTTGCCCTTATATATTACAAATAGACAGCATTGCCCATGTACAGCCAGTACACATTAAAAATATACTGCTTAGTCCAATACATATACATTACATATACCCAGCCTTCTCGTATACATGAATAATTTACAGCTGTGCCAATGTACAATACAAATATAGAGCATTAGCCTTACCCATGTACATTAAAAATGACAGCTTTATATATCATAAATAAATAGACTTGCCCATATACATTACAGCTTATATCTAATCCTTTTATTGCCTCTCGCTCCAGTCTGGTCGTGCATGTTCTTGACTCTTCCTGGTGAGTTATTAGAGGACATAATTCTGATTTATGAGCTTCGAGTCAGCTGATGTTCTTTGTATCATTTGGACTTCTCAAAGCGACCCTTTATTCTTATTGCAAGGTCACTGTGATCACATTATCCCCATATGTAACCCACAGTGACGTCACTGCCTTCTGTCGGCCCCCAAAGGGTCTTTTAGAATTTGTTCTGTGAGTTATTTTTAAAGTCTGTTATGTAAAATCAGTCAGTTTGACAAACGATTGATTGATTGATTTAGCCATGAAAAATAAAGTGAAGTATTTTGGTATCTTAATATCAGATAGGTGATAATATAATTATTCCAACAATAATCTTAAACTAGACAGAGGTGTGTTTTCTGATCTGCAGGTTATAAAAGACAAAAACAATAACATGTCAAGTATGTTTTAACGTTTTTACTCTCTGAAGAGTTCAGTAATTCTCATACATCTCAGCACTGAGCTAGAAGTGTGAGGTGAATATCCTATTTTAGAATAAAGGCAGGAAACAGAGAGGGAACTTCTTTCCTGGCTCTGTCTAAAGTTTGTAAAAACACATACCAACACCTCTGTGGTTGACTGACTAACACCTGGTTTCATATGTCCGCTAACTGAAATGTGAAAAACAACAACTTTGACGTAATAATTGTTTTTTAGACAAAACAACAAACTTAGATCATGTTAAATAGTCAGCTATAAGCATGGTTAGATGTTTCAGTCCACCTTTATGCTAAACTAAGCTAAGTCCCCCCATTATCCAGGAATGAAGCCAACATATTGTTGGGTCCATGTTCCATCAACTAACACGGAGGAGATGGGGTTTATGACCTTTATTGCAGCCATTAGGGGGCGATGGAGACACTTTGACTTCACTGTGATGTCGTCCATCTTTATATACAGACTAACTTCCTTCTACTGCAGAAACATGAGAGTGATACCGACCTCGTCTAACTCTGTGGAAATGTAGTCCTCAAAAAATGTCCAGTTATTCCTTTCAGATAATTTGACAGCTTCCCTGTGAGTTAGTATCTAATCTTCAATCAGTCATCAGGTAGTTTAACTGTCACATTCTAAATGTACACGTCAACAAACTGCTCAAGTGAAGGTTTGACTTTCTTGTTGGTCTAAGAAAAGAATTTGCCCCACATGCTGTACATATGATCCCATGCTCTGAGGTCCTATAGTGTGTCTGAGCGTATGTAGGACAGTTTCATAATCCTGAGAATTCTTTACCAACACGTAACTTTTTCTGTTTACCAACAACTAATAACCTCATAACTCACAATGGCTTCTATCTTAGAGGGAAACATGTTTAATCGAATTACTTTTCCTCGTGGAAAGTGTCTTTGGCTGTGAAACGTGTGCTCAGAGTTCAGCTTCTCCTTCACACCTACGCTTACTGAGATAAGAGGCGGTAAAATAATGTGGTAAATTACTGTAAAACAACTCGAGGTGAGGCTGCTCACATCCGGAAGTGTGTGTGTGGGGGGGGGCAAGGGACAGATAAGCAGTGGGCTTCTGCGAGTTGAAAGAAAAGCTGCTATCAGACCTGCGGCCGCGACTCGTGGTCACACAGCTGGCAGCCATGCACTCCAAAATGTGTGACACAGCAGGCGGACTCACATCAGCCGTCTAAATGTAACCAGTTGGTTCTGGTTTACACTCGGCTGGAGCTGTCGAAGCACGGGAAGTTTCCGTGTGAAAAACCAAATACTGAGGTTTTTCCTTGAGATACAGATGTGTCAGGGACAAGGAGTGATTCAAACACCCTGGCCTGTATCACAGTAAATCCTGAACACGGTGCAGTTAACAGACCTTTGCCTCCTTCCAACAATACTTAAATCTCCCTTTGTCTTAAAATCTTGCAGTTTTTCAAATTGATCTCAAATGAATAATGATTGTAGAAGCTCTGAACTGTCAGCATCACCAGTCTACCACTGCTGAAGCACCACGTGTCTGTCTCGCTTCTCATAAAATTTTATTCTAATTTTCACGGCTGGGCCAAATCACTGTTTCTCTCTTATCTACTAAGAAGTCTGTTGGGTGTGGAATTTGTCAAGCGTTCCCACTGACCCCCTGGACAGCAGGTGGAAAATCAGGGATCCGCTTTCATGCAAATGAGCTGTCCTACATCATCCTCCTCTCATTGGTGCTCCAGGCTGTGAGGCGTCAGCTGACTGGCTGTGGGGTGTAGAGGTCTGATTGGTTTGGGGAGGGCGTGACGCTGCAGCAAAACCCTTTATATACCCGGCGAGGAGATTGTCTATCAATGAAGTAGTAAAAGGGGGGAACGTCTGCGGCAAAGAGAGAGGGATAGGTTTTCAGAAGAAGCCTTTGTTAGAGTTTGCTTTGGGTGGGTTCCCTTCTTTTATTTACTGAATTCAACAGGTGACCAACACACAAAACAGCTGAAAATGAAGTTCATCATCGGCATTGGAGGGTAAGAGTCGTTTCACTGATTCACGTGCTCGTCTGTTATAAAAAACCAAACGTGTGACTCGTGTTTATGGCATCAAATCTATTCTGATTTCAGAGTGACCAACGGTGGGAAGACCACTTTGACAAGCAGACTTCTGAAGACATTACCTAACTGCTGTGTTGTCCATCAGGATGACTTCTTCAAGGTAAGATCAATTCAAGTAACCGTTTCATTTGAGCTTTAAAATTCACTTTGACTATTTAAAATGTATTAACTTGAGTTTACAAGAGAATTCTTTTGATATATTTGATTTGCTAAATAAAATGTAGCCTTGAGGACATTTTGTGCTCAGTGATAATCTGCCAGTCTGACCTGCAGATGTGCTGTCATCGCAGTAGCCTAGTAATACATCTGGCTGATTGTTTCCTGGACAGCCAATGAAAGGGCCAAACGTCCCCACTTAAAGTGAGACTTTGTCCAATCACGTTGCAAATTGTGCAACCAACGTTTTGCACGAACATGAACGTAATTTGGCTTCAACAAAATACCAAATAAAAAAGAGGGACGATTTTATTTCTACCACAAACCATCTCTTCGTGCTGCATTCAGGGACGGTCGACATCTCATCGACATCACTGACTTTTTTCACATTATACAAAATGGAGAGCAAGAGAATAAGGGTGGTGGCTGGGGCCGCACAATTCAGGGGGGGGGTAAATTTAAGCGCAATCTAAAAAAAAAATCGCAATTTTCCTTAGAAGAGGATTTTGAGAGAGTTTTTGAAAAAGATAGTTCTTTACAAAAATAAAGCCCTATAATGAGCCTCACCACCCTTCTGTAGAGTTTTAGAATTTTTTAAAGACATTTTTTAGGGTCCAAAGTGTTTCCAAAACCAAAATTTCGGAAGCGGAACATTGGAAAAAAAAAACAACGTTTTTACTGCATCCAAAAACCACGGTTCGTTACTTTTGGTGGAGACGAGTCCTTGACCTGTCCTGTCCAGGTGTGATCAGCTCCGACTGGTTACTAGGTTGCAGCAATGTTTTATTGGTGACTGTTTCAGAAACCCGATCAAATAGAAGTCGGGGAGGACGGCTTTAGACAGTGGGATGGTAAGAATGGATTTCCCGTAGGAAAACCATGCAGTAATGTACTTTTCCTTTCCTGCACATTTATTAAAAAAACTTTGGACTGTCATCTATTGTGTGAATGTTTCCGACATTCACCAATGGTGACTAGTGTAAAGCACATTGTTGAGCAGCGTTGGTTGCGTGTGTGGTGAAGCTCCTCTCTTTTCTCTCCCGAATCAGTGATCAGCGCCATGGACATGGAGGCAATGGTTAACACTGTGAAGGGCTGGCAGGAGAACCCAGTCAAGTTCGCCCGCTCCCACGGGGTCAGCCTATCACCTGAAGTTGAGGAATCCGACTCGGGGGACAAGGGGATCCATATTCTCATCATTGAGGGGTTCCTGATCTACAACTACAAGTGTGTCCTGCTCGTTGTCACTGAAAGATTTGACCCACAGGCCTCTTGACCTCTAAAGCTTGTCACTAACCTGAGCTCCTCCCTGCAGGCCTCTTACCGACGTCTATGACAAATGCTACTACATTGCCATTCCTCGTGAGGAGTGCAAAAGGAGGAGAAGGTAACGAGCTCTTCATTAACAATTACCAGTCAGGTGTTCGACACATGGTTCAGGTTACAATATGACTTGATTGATTATGTTTCCGCAGTACAAGGACATACACAGTCCCCGACCCCCCCGGTCTGTTCGAGGGCCACGTCTGGCCCATGTACTTGAAACACAGGAAAGAGATGGAGAGCAACTGCGACAGAATAGGTTTGTTAAACCAGTTCTTCACCTTGACAACTAAATGTCAGTTTCCTCCATTAATCCATCTTCCTGTCCACAACCTTGACGTCAGAATAAAAGCACAATGACTCAACGCATCATTTCTGATTTGTCTCTGCACAGAGTATCTTGACGGGATGACATCTAAGGAAATGATTTACAACAGAGTCTATGAAAGCATTCAGAACTCCCTGCTGAACCAATCATAGGTACGAGGAATCCTGAGATGAATGGGCTGTGACAGATGAATAATAAGTGTTTTATTCAGTGTGTGTAACCCCTGTCCTCTCTTCTCTCTCTGCAGCAGGATGGGGGACGACAGTGGACTTGTGTATAGACTTGTAAATATAATGTTGAGTAACACCAGCTCGGTACTTCTAGTCTGATCTGTAAATAGTCATTCGTGTAACTTATTAAGAACTAATGGCAGAAGTTGTTTTGTTTTGTATAATCCTGTAACTTTTTTTAAAAAGACGAGCCACCTCTTGACTGCCCAGTGTTCAACATCAGGGGCCGATATCAAATCTGATTTTGTCGTACTGATTGTCAAAGTCAAAATCTCGATTTGTGTTTTGCAACTTAAAGAAATGACTGAATCCACTGCGTGTCTCCTGTTTTTCTTCTCAAATCATTTGGTTCACATGTCTTCACGTTTTATAACAAAACACTGATAACATCCTGCAGCTCTTGAACCAGTCTCCTTATCACAAACAATAAAACACTACAATAAAAGCTTCTGACTCACAGAGATCAGACAGAAATATTTATCCTAAAAGACAATAAGGGTAGAAAAACCATAAATTAAACTGTTAGTTTAAACATTATGAAATAGGTATAGAACAAACCTGTCTCTTTATGAAAACACATTCAAATTAAAAGATTTTTATTTGGATCTGCACCAAATTGCAGAAGATCATAAAAATCAAGTCCTATAAACGTGCCTGATTTATTTCATTAAGATCCTTTAATTATTCTCTCAGGAATCGATTCATAAGTTAAGCAAAATGTTTTTTCGCACAATAATAAATAAATTAAAGAACCCCTCCTCCACGTATAGTACTTTTATTTGCAGTTGTCGAGGTGGAGCTAGTTTCAACTACTTTATAAAATAGTTTCATCCAGTAGTTCCTAACTGAGGTTGATCAATGAGGAATGAAGACATTTTTATAAAACTAAATATTGTTTAATATTGAATAACTTTTCCTAGTGTCAAAATGATCCAAGACGTTTGGAGGTGAAATGTATTTATAGTGGAAATGCAAATGTCTCACATGTTTCCAAAATGTTGCTTGGAGCAGATTTCTTTGTAAATATTGTCGACCTATAAACGCTGGGAACAGCTGACTCTATGTTTAATAACAGAGTATTTTATAAGCTTATCTTGTGTTTCTTTTTAATATAAGATGTTAATGTGAAAATGAACTACAGTGGAGTAAGATGTATATTTCTTTCTTAAATGTGTAAAAAGTATAAAGTACTGTAAGATGGAAATAATCAAGTAAAAGAATTAGTGACTTTCAAACTCCGAGCTTAAAGTTAGCACCTCTTCAAACGTTCAGAAGTCCTTTTATAAAGTCTGTTTTACAGTCAGGAGATGAAACCTTCATATAATTCACTGAGTTTTTGATCTCAAAAATCAATACCAACATGTGGTTCTATAACTTGTCTCCGAGTGTTGATTGACTCATCAAAGGTTTTTTATAATCCAAGCTCAAGGTCAAGGATACTCGGCTTGTTTATTAATCTTTATTGTCATTGTCTGAGTCTCTGCTTCTTCCGATCACATAAAACCTCTCACTGTACTTTACTCCGGCCCGGGACATGGCAGAGCCACAGAGGGTGTGTTCAGGGGGGAGTCGGGGTCTTGTGACGCGTGTCTGAGAGTTTTTACATGCCAGCACTCGGCCTGGAGCAGCTCTGTCAGTTTATATTTAGGATAAGTGTCGGGGGTGTCAAGGGAATATATTTAACGCACCCACTTGACGCTGCACAGCCGGGTCTGACTCAGGGGCCAGTCCCCTCACGCCACCTCAAGGCGGGTGAGAAGAACCTTGTGGGGTGGCATGTGGTCCCACGTCACCAGCCGCCATGGAAACCCCCAAAGTTAAATCTATGGTATCCATATTAGGATTAGGGTGGCGAGGCAGTGACCCTGGAGATGAGTGGCTATCACATAACCCCCCCTCCTCTCATATGCGTGAGTGAGGACCCCTGAGGCATGTGAACAGTTGTGAATGTGCCACAGAAGTATTTATGGCTGCACTGAGACAAACAGGAACAAGTGACTTGGCTTTCAAACCCCCCCATCGTTAATATCATTCATATCCAGTGTTTAGAACACACTATACTTACTTTTGAAATGCCTATTTAGAGATTTGAACACATTTAATTTGTGTTAGATATAATAAGTACACCCATAGAGGATCATCTTAAATCACACACCGACAGTTTAACTGTTTATTCAACAGAAAACAAAGTTAAATATCAACATACATTCAGATTATTTGATGCTGATGATTTTGGTCCAGCACAGAAAACTACTTCAAAACTGCTGAATCACGTAATAGGCAAGAAAACTTTTAATCTAAACTAATAAACCCAATTCAGCTGGACTGATCTGGTTTGTGGTGGTGTGGTATATATATTCTATAGCCTCCCTGATTATGTAAAGTTTAGATTTTTATCATTATTCTCCAAATGTTTGGTCCCCAAACATTATTCTATTCTATTCTATTCTATTACATTCTTTTATATAATTTTTATATTATATTTAATAATATCATACCATGTTATATCATATTATATTATACATTAATGTACAATATTACATCTTAATTACTTTTTATAATGTCATTTCATGTACCTCAGTTAAGTAAATGTAGTTAGTTGCTTACACCACTGCTGCCACGTCACAGAGCTTAAGGCCGAGACTTGTCAGATTTGACATTTGACTAAATTTGTGCAAGGTTTGAGTCAGTGGGTCACATGTCAAGAGGTCTCAACACTAATTTGTCACGTGTAGATCACTGAAAGTGCGAAGACGGACACAGCGACATGTTGCTCAGAGCTGAAACGTGAGGAGAACTGACCACGCTGACTCTGGCAAAGCTTAATCAAAGATAAGCAGAACATGTGTCGCAAGAAACCTGATGATCTGCAGAGCTGCAGCTGCCACACAGCATGAAATTCACCATTCATCACACATTTCTATTTTCATTCAGGTTAAACTGCAAAAATCAGCGTAGCTTTATTCAAACTTACTATAATCGTGTATCAGGAGGAACTTAAGTATCCACATGAGTTGAGATTTGCCCAAGGTTAATGATTTTAACTTGTCAAACATTTTGTCAGCGTCTCACCTGTCTTGTCTCCCCATGATCTGTGGTAAACCCTCAGGATCTATCATTTTACTCCTCAGACTGGCAGTGTGAGGCCTCGGGGGGGAGGACAACAGGTATAATCCTTGTAGGGGAAGCTTTCTTGTGGTAAAACCATTTTAAGACCATCATCTTCGTTAAATCTCACAAGAAGCAAAGCCTGGATACCTAGATTCATGGGATAAGATATATTCAAAGCGTACAAGAATTAGTCTTTCACTCAGGGAGAGATCTGCTGCTGCTGTGTACCATGAAAACAACCAGAAACTTTATTTTATTTCCAAGCAACATTACTTTACAGAAAACATTAAGGTTTTTTTGTGGCAACATTTATTGTGATTTGTTTACTTTCACGTCAGACACACAAGAAAGACTCAATTCAACGTTAATACTCACTCGCTAAATTTTGTGGGTTACATGTCCTGCTCGGGAAGTCTTGTGCCAAACCAGTGCTGAGGATCTGCGGCTCTTATAAATCTGGTCTGGAGCAGGGCGGAGCTGAACTCTGCAGCAGGGGAAGGTTTTTTTTTTTTGCTAAGAATAGAAAAGCACGCAGGCTCACCATCATGTTGCCCTATTTGGCAGAGGAAACACACACCGTGATACTTCAGCTGAGAGGCGACAAACACTGGAGTCCATCTGTAGATTCTTCTAAATGTGTGAGACCCACACCATGCAGCCTCACATGTCCCTGTACCTGAGTCATGCCAATAATCTTTAATCTTTAGTTAAAGTTTATGTTTGTACCTGAGCTGCACGGTAAAATAGGCAACATGCTGCACAATCTGAACTCTCTGAAGTCACCACACTGAAGTACCCTCCTGTTGTTGTACTTACATGTCTGTTCTTAACTTTTCATTTCTTTTTAAACGTGTGTTCTTCTTTTAATTGACTGACTATAAAACATGATGCATTGTCTTATTCTAAAAACAACTTCTCAACTGGTCATTCTAACATGTGATTAAAACTTAAATGGTGTTTTGTTTGAAGTGAAAACATCAGTGCAGTTAGAATGGTTTAAATGTGTCGACTAAAAAAATATGAATAATGTGAGTCCAGCAACTTCTTTTCCTTTTTCCTTTCTGAAGGAAAGTTTGATGACAATCTCCACGTGGAGTCACCTGTTCTCTATTTGTTTTATTCTGTGTTATCACTGTATCGACGTTGCTTTTGGCACGTAGAGAATTCACCTTTGAACCTGAACAGCCACATCTGTATAACTTTAGGAGGGCGCCTGTTAATGGTCAGTCAGTGATGCGCAAGGTGAATGAATAAAAAGTGAATGAAAGTCACAAGACAACAACAGTTCACTGGGTTTTAAGGTTTGATTTGTCAGAGACTGAAATTTGTATAAAAGGATGTTACAGTAAACATATTGAGTCAGAAAACAACACAGGAAATAAAGATGCCAGTGAAAAGAAGGCAGAGCCAAAAAAGGGGAAATATCATTTAAGGAATGAGAAATATTCATATCTATATTGATGCCAAAAAATCTCAGTTAAAAATTAAAATGACTACATATAAGAAGTATTGAAGGGCCAACCAACTTTTATTTCAAGCATTTGTGTTTTAAATAGAAATTGGAGTTGCTTGCATATGTTGCTCAGTTTGGGTTTGAAACATGGAAACTGGGCTTAAACGTAGACACAAGTATTAAATACGTTGTTGGACTGTTTGGTTTTTAAAACAAGATTCGTTCACAACAAAGTCAGTGAAGCCATGACTGAGACTAGAGGACCTCTTTGAATGGACTCATGGGATCTGTAGGACTGATGATGAACTCTCCACAGAGGGAAGGCACCATGTAGACGCAGCCTGCCACCGTGTGGTGGATATATAGTCCTGCATGAGACCTCGGCTCCGAGGAGAGTTGTTAACACGCATCATCAGATACTTCATGTGTTTGCTTGATAAACTGAACATTTCAGACACTTTGATGATATGAAATAATGATAATCATCATTTTTTTCTAAAGTCAATCTTATACATCAGAGACTTATTAATATGTGTTTCTCTGCAGCTCATAATTTAGACAACGACCGATGTGAAAGTTAAAAACATTATTCAACAGAAAGCTTTGTCTTTATTCCTGCAGTGTTCTGCTCCTTGAAAACGACCAGGTTGACTGGTAACATTCAGATGACTGCAGCTCACACCCGTGCGTAAAGTTTACTCAGCAAACTCCCTTGTGTAAGTCTTGTGTAACTGGACCAAACCACGGGCAGGGATGGGTTAAACTTTCTTGACAGAAACTTTGACTTTGCATCAGTAACTGGGCTGAATTAGATAAATGAGTTTTGGGGGAAAGACTCGAGCCCTCCTCTCCTCTCCTCTCTGTCAGTCCTCCTCAGATCTGATATGTTGTTGTGCGTAAAAGGAACTGAGAGCGCACTACATGTCATCAATTGATTTCTCATTAACTTATTGAAGGGATTTCACTTTCAATTATTTTTACTGCCATGGCGAGATGGTCACTTTTACTTTTATACTTTTTCCAAGGACTACTTCCCCTCATCTTTGGACAGCAGCGCACCTCTGGGCCCTGGCGGCACCGGATTCAGTGGCAGAACAACGGACAGGTTTACAGTTTAATGAGCACTGGATCGGAGTACCAGGCTCCGGTTCGCTCCAGAAGCCAGTCGAGGGTTTATGTGAGCGGCAGGAGGGACGGCACCAGGAGCCAGATGTCGGGAGCGCACAGAGGAACGATGCTTGTAAGAACAGGGCAAGGTGAGTCCAGAGTGACCAGGACTGACCCAGGTGTACAACCAGGGTCATATACACCAGGGCGCGATAGTAGACCGTTCGTGCCCGTTAATGCTCATGCATGGACCAGACAGCAGCCCGAGCGCACTCAAGGAACCGGAGCTGCAGGTTATCCAAACGCACGACGTCTTGGACCTGAACACACCAACAGCATCAACGCTTCTGCATCGGGGACTTCAAATGATTTCGCTGGCAGAAGAGGAGGTGTGAGTGTGGACTCCTCTGCGCCGCGCACCGCTGGAGGAGAACCGGGGCCCGGTGCCCAATACCAACAGTTACGCACGGTGCCACAGGCAGTTCCTGTCTTCAGGCAGACAGGTCACTCCAGCTCAGCCTATTCCACAACTCTGGAGAGAGAATCTGAAGGTACCTCTTCGTTAACTGCAGCTTCAGAGGATGCTTCAAACGAGGCGACCACTAACAGAGAGGACATGGTTAACGACGATCCTCGAAACCCGTTTAAAAACCACAGGAATTCAGTTTTCTATAACATGTATCCAGCCAGAGGGAGGTCAGGGGCGAACCGTCCACCTGACACAGGATATGGAACAAGATACTTTCAAAATGGTAAGAGTCCTAATCACATTTATGAGATCATCCTTGTTAATTAGCATTAAAATGCGCAAAGCTGGTCTGCAGCTACAGCAGCATTCACTGGTAATGAGGTAGTAGAATGTTGCATTAGGGGATAGACTACACTTGGAAAGTATACATTTAAAAACAAGTATTTACTGAGTATAAAAGTTAATGTGGTACTTTTACTCAGGTAAGTAAATTGTGTCTATTTATGTGTACTTTAACTTGAGTAAAATATTTCAGTACTTCCTCCGCCATTGTCAGGATGATACCTATTCACACTAAATCTGTATCTCACTCACTAAGAGAAAAAGGATAAATGTCAAGAAGGGAACAATCCTGTTGGTGCAGTTGATTCCAGAATGACGCATCAGGAATGTAAGATGAAGAATTATTTCAACAAGACACAACAGCTGCTTTAATTTACTGGTTTATTCTAAGCATGAACAGAGAGTGGTTCAACATCAAAATCTCAAATTTGGATTGTCCCTTTAATTTCCTCCAGGACTGCCAGACCTTGTGCCAGACCCATATGCCATCCAAGCAGGTGCTTACATCCAGCGCATGCAGATGTATTCACTCCGCTGTGCAGCTGAGGAGAACTGTCTGGCCAGGTAACCTGCGGTGCCAGAAGTGATTCACCACTTCAGTACGCTCATAACAGCACGTAGACACTGAAGCAGACACACACACAGACACAGACATGTATTTCCTTTGTTTTTACTGCTTGGCGAAGATTCATTTGAGGATTGAGGAGAATTTTGGGGTGGTTTAGAATATCTTTGAATTATCTCAGTTTCCTTGAGGATAACTGTTTCGTTGATGGAGTTACAAAACCTGTTTGACCTTATTATGGAGCAGTGATTCTCCGACATCATGTCCTGCCAAGACATAAATGTTCTGGATTGGTTTTCCCAAAAGCATTAAGTGAAATGGAACAAACTCTTTGCGCTCTGTTACTTTTAAAAAAGCTAGTCTGCAGGAGCTCAGCCAGTAGCACTTTCCAACTCGCTTATGTCCATTTCCTCCTGTGATCCATCCAAGGTCAGCTTATGGACCCACCGTACGGGACATCGACTTCAGAGTCCTCCTGAGGTTCCCCCAGAAAGTGAAGAATCAAGGCACCTCCGACTTCCTGCCCGTCAAGCCGAGATATCAGTGGGACTGGCACAGCTGTCACCAGTGAGTCTACACAGCCTGACACGAAAGGAAATGACCTTAAAACATTCGAAATGTTGTGATTAGCACGGCTCCACTTTCATCGGAAAAACACCACACCCTCAAAATTCAGTCAAAGTTTTGGCCTCAAAGACATTCCTGATCTCTGCTGCGAGGAAAAAAAAGTTATCACTCTGTTCTGTCCACCCTCAACCTCAGGCACTACCACAGCATGGACGCCTTCAGTAACTACGACCTGTTGGACGCCATCACTGGACGTAAAGTAGCCGAGGGACACAAGGCCAGTTTCTGCCTCGAGGACACAGGCTGTGAACCTGGATTCAGGCGGCGCTACGCCTGCACATCCCACACACAGGTAAAGGTAGCAGATAGATAGATAGATAGATAGATAGATAGATAGATAGATAGATGGGACAATGGACCAAAGTATAGTGTCTTATCTAATGTTATTGTATCACATTAAAACAGTGATGACATTCAGGCTCCAGAGTAAGTATTTTGTTTTTTTTTATCTTCCAGCTCCACGTCTGAGTCCAAGTTTTTCTAACTAAAACTGATTTATGCCAAAAACATCCTGAAGACGTTGGAATATTTATTATATCTTGTCTGGGTCAGAGCTCTGTGATTCTGGATTTCCACTCTTTAGTCCTGGTGTCTCGTAACATCTTGACTTCCAGGAGCCGTTTGTATAAGTTACTCTCAAATCTGCCTCATCTGCAGCACTTGTTGGAAAATTGTCGTCAAACTACACTCAGGGTTTTGGATGTTGGGTTGTGTTTTTCAGGGTCTGAGCCCAGGATGTCACGACGTCTACGCCGCCAACATCGACTGTCAGTGGATCGACATCACTGATGTACCTCCAGGAAACTATATCCTGAAGGTGACTGTCAGGTTGACTTTATATCAACTAGTCGACCGCAGAATATCTTTCTGATTCTTATTTCTCATCATGGAGATTGATTTTACGAACCTGCCTGCAGAGCAAACTCTTATTTGAGATTTCTTTTTCCCAGGTAACTGTCAATCCCAATCTCCACGTCCTGGAGTCGGACTTCACCAACAACATAGTGAGATGTGATATCACGTACACAGGAATTTATGTTCAGACGCGCAACTGTCGAGTAGCAAGGTACTGAGAGATTATGACAAACGCTGCATGAGTTTAGTTTAAACGCTTATTAGGAATATCTCATCATTAACCATTATCCAATGAATATCTTGTATTTAATAATTATCATAATTATGAGGCCAAATAAACTGTTAAATCCCGTTAAATTAGCTGATACATTCATTGTTAAACAGCAGAAAATATGGTTCTTTATTGTAGTTTGGATAAAAACATGAATGTATAGAGGTTGTCTGATTGCATGTGTAAGATTCTGTATCACTGTTCTGTGTACAAACTTTCTCATTTCTTTCTCTCTCTGTTTCCAGGGGTTGAAATCTTCATCAGCGTCAACACTCTGATTAACATGGAGTAAAAAAAGCCAAAGAGTTAAACACAACTGTAACTGTGTGCAATGTTGCTGCCATAGAGTCCTACATGTTGCATTTATTTATATAAAATGCTAAAGTTTCCAACAATTTTCTACATGAAACTAGTGAGATCACCAGAAATAAGGATTTCTACTTACATGGCATGATTCATGACGTATTTTTTATGGTCTTCACAAAGATGAGTACTGTGTTTGTATAGGTTCGGTACTTGAATGCATGTTTTATTGCTTATTTGTGGGTCTTTGTCTTGTTGTCTTGCTTCATATTTTTTGTTAGACGCACATCATTTGTTCTCGCAGGTTTCTATAAAGGATTAATATTCTATATTTTTGTTAAAAGCAACAAATCTCATGAAAAGACCAAAGCCAACAATACATGATTCCATCACTCAGTACTTTCTGACCTCGCTGTGCTGTTTGTGGCTCTTAAACCTGAACCCAGTGAGTCACAAATATAAGTTGAAATGATTTTTGTCTTTATAAGAAAATAAATAGAATATCATCCTTATCCACCTGATAATCACGAATATCTCTCATAGTAACTGTAGTATGTTGGTGCTGTTTGTTTATGTAAATGTTTGCTTGTGTATATCTACGTGAATGGAACATTTTTTAGACTGTTTTAAACTGTTGATATTGCTTGAACGTTGTTGAAAATTGAATCTTATTCTGTTAAATTTAAAGCAATAAAGATGTTTAGGAGTGAGAAAGAATGTCTTCCCTGTTCTTTTCTAAATAATAACCACATGCATCAGTTTAATGTTGTAAAGTTCTATAATTTAAAAACCAACAGTGGAGAAGTTTGTCCAGGTTTTATCATAAAGATGCCAGGGACTATTAAAGAAGATATATTTCATAAAGCTTTTAAATGTGTCTTGTTCCTATAAAAGTATCTAAGCGGGATGAATCTGTTTGGTCTTTGTAAACGGAGCTTTCCTCCGAGCGTTGCGTGCAGATTGTGGCCTCAGAGACAAACAGGCCTGCAGACAGACACTGGCGGTATGTTTGCTGACAGACCTCTGTGAAGACACAACTGGCAGGATCTTATACAGCCGTGCCACATCCACTAAAACAGCCTGAGCACGATGAATGGAGGCCTTTTCTCACTCTTTCCTCCTCTGCACATGTAAAAAAGAGCATCTCTCGACTCCCGTCCCAGAATTCACCACATCGTCTCAATTCGCCTTTGTGGGGGTTTGTCCGAGACGACAGCTGACAGCAGAGATATTGTATGTTGCCACAGTTTGAGGATTGACACAGCCAACAGAGAATATCTCCAGCAAGACATTCAAAGATCTTTTTTGACCAAAGACAAATGTGTTTGTGCAGGAAGCATCAGACTGGCAGGAAGAAACACAAAACAAGAGCAGCTACACATTTAAAGATGTTTTCACCTTAAACGAATCACTCAATCCCACAAAGGTTTATATATTGTGAAGCTATTTCAAATCACGTACTGGAAAACATGCAGCCTCCAGACAATGTATGCGCTGTTAAATGCACAGATGTTAGGTCTTTACAACAAAGCAGAGCCTCAGCTTAAGAAAGCTAGAGAACCAGGGATATTAAGCCCAAATGAAATGGTTTACGTTGGAAGTTGCCAAGGTGCTTCCCTGCCAGAGGAGATTGTCTGTGTTATTGAGAGTCTGGAAAATCCCCCAACTCCTATTGAGTCGACTCCTTTCCTGTGTGTCGAGGAGTTTTCAGGACAATATTTACAGAGAATGGCTGTTACAGCAAAGTATCTCTGAGGGTAGAACTTCTCTAAGTCTAAGAAGAAGAAAACTCTACAGTTTACCATGTTTTGGTCAAACCGTGGACCAGATGTATTATACATATTCTATTTTTACCTTGTTATGGCACTAGATGAAAAGAAAGCTGATAAAGAGGAAGATGAACAAACTTATCATTGCAATCTATTTAATATCTTCCATCATATTTTACCAAAGAACTAAAATGTGAACCTCCTAAAGGCATGAGTGGAAAAATAATCACTGATGTCATTAGGGTTCGTTCTCTGTGGATAATGAATGTCTGTATGAAATTTCATGGTAATCCATCAAACAGGATTTTTCAGTCTGGACCCAACTGACAAAAAGTTGTGCCTGGAGCCGTAATGCCAGGATTACAAGTAATTTTTAAAAACTAGGTTGATGAACGTCACTTTCGTTGAAGTTAATACCGAGACACTCAAGGCCCAACAGTCCACTCATGAAACCACATTTAAATTCACGAAATCCAGATTTTTATTTGGATCAGCACTAAACTCAGCAAACATGATGCTGATTTTTTTCATCAGGTTTTATGAATTATTCTCTGAGAAATCAACAACATTTTTGAACATAATATTAAAGAAAGTAAATATATATGTTTATATATTGTATATTGGTGTGGATCTGGACAAAAAGTTGATGGGTTCAGGTTCCTTCTTGGGTCACGCCCCACAATTCCACAAAATGACTCAGATGAAATAATAACCAACTTGGCAGAAGTAACACTGAATTGGTCCCAGAATTTTTTACTGACTTTGCAGCCTCATCTTCTAAGATCTGTTTAAAAATCCAAAGGCTGTTGAACTCTAACCTGTTCTATAACTGATCATGTGATGAGGGTTGGGCTCAGTACTCAGCTGGTCACCTCCTTTTTGGACCAGCATGTCATTTTAAACATGTCATGCTGTAGAGAAGACAGTGACTGTTTGCTCAGCTGTGCAGCTCCACACCAACATCTGGACGGAGTCTCGCGTTAGCTTTACACAAGCATCGGCTAAGACGGAAAAAAGAAGGCCAGCTGGCACCTTTCCTTTGGCCTCAACAAATACAGTCCAGCGTACAGGTAGGTAAGGTGAGGAGAGGACAGGTTGTGCAAGGAGAGACATTTTCCGGATGCATCTGCACGTCGGTGGGCTGCGTTGGGAGAGGTTACCGAGGGCAGGGTTTGGAATTTGCAGGTCATATTTCAACAAAGCCGGGACCATGTGGGAGTCGGCAGGGACGTAACAAAGGAACACGCTCAGCCCAAAGGCAGCATCTTGACAGGTTGGTTTAGGCACAGAGCAGAGAAATTCCTCAGCAGTTCTGTCATCCCGTCGAGATCGAGAACAGCGCCGAGGTCAGCCGACGACCAGCGAGGGCGTGGAGGGCAGACACACTGGGCTACTTCCTCTCCCCGGGGTCACTCACACAACCACCAGACACAGAGCTGCAACTGTGGAGAGCAAGAACGAGCTCTGAGACAAAAAACACAGAGGACTTATCTTCCAGTGGGACTGATGATGAACTGTGTTTCTCTTTCACGCTGGGTGGTATTATGACGTGGGTGGTATTTGAAGGGACGGCTCAAAGGATTTGCTCGTCTTTGATTGCTGATATGCTGTAGCATGTGATTGTGCGCATGTTTCATCTCTTACTTCAAACACTTGTATTGATTTCCCTCGAATTTGATTTGTTCACTTTAAAAGTCCTTAAGGAAGACTCCGGTCACATTCGGAGCCTTGAGACACAGAGGAATTTTAGAAAATGAATTCAATGTGTGATCGTCTTTGTGAAAAAAACGCTTTGTTGACGAGTGAGAGAAAACAGACGAGCCGACATATTTGACTCGTTTTCGTTTTGTCAGTTGCTGTTGCCTGTTTAGATTGAAAGTTATATTGTTTCAAGGTTAAAACAAATTTTTTTCAGTTTTGATGCATGTTTGATGTTCATTAATGAGAGAGTTGCTGTGATCATCTTCTTTTATCTCTAATGGTCGGAGGAAGAAAAGAGCATCAGGGAGGGGCTGAATGTGTATTTTGTGATATATTGTACTTAAAAATATTAAAAACTAACATTTGTCCGAGCTCTCTGTTGAATAAATATATCTGTAATTCTGTTTCTAAACTGTCTCAAACTCAGCTGATATTCTGGTCGATTTATAATTTGGTCTCCGATAAACATGATTTAAAAATCTATTCAAATGGAATAATAGAGCACTATGTCAATAAGAAAATATATTAATATAAGACCAACATCTGGCCACTGTATTTTTCTTGTCATTAAAACAACCCACAGTCTTTGTTCTAATCAGTTTTACATGTTATTATCTGAAAGCGGTTTCTCTCCCTGCCTGGCTCTGTGTCAGGAGGCCGGTGGGATCTGTTCGCACCTACACGTTGTTCAGGATCAGGCCGTGGCCTCAGACACAAAGACCCTGGTTGTTCAGAGAGCTGCAGTTTTCCGTCCAGAACCACAAACAGATCAGGAAACAAATACTCCACCGGACAAGCATCCAACACCTGCGGTACGAACAGCATCCTTCTCGTGTATTATTTTTGGGTGGATGAGACAAACGGGAAGTGGCAGTACTCAGAGTCAGTGTTGTTCTTGGTCTGAATCTCTGTCTGACATTCCAGAATCACTCCAGTATTTGAAGAGGCAGAACGACCAGCAGCTCAGCCCGTGTTCTTTCTGTCTGACAGGCTCCGTAGACAGGGCGTGCAGAAAGGCCCAGACATGGACGGCAAGGCCAAGACACGGCCTTTCTCAAAGCCCACCAGGTTTTACGTGCTGCACACATAAGATCCAGGCCAACAGATTCTCAAATGACTCACAGGATTGATGCTTGGTGGTCATACAGCGTTTTGAACTTCTCTTATCCTCAGACGTTTGTTTTAAAAGTTTGACTTTTCAAATAAATAGACCGATGAGTGATATTTAAGGAAGTGTTTTTATCTCACTGCCAAAACAGACCGTTCCTACGAATAACAGGCAGAGTGATGTTGAATTTGCTGAACGGAAAATATTCAGACTCAGTTCTTGATGAAGCTATAAAAATATTTTTTCTTTGCTCCTGCAAGAAGAAACAGATTTATGGGGTGAGATACTGAAGTTACGATTCGTTGGTGTAGCACAGAAGCAATTAGGCAATGTATGGAATTGATTTGATTGTATGTTTATCTATTATTAATTCATTTGAAATTATCTAGCATTACTTTCAAGTTAGTTGCTTCAAGTTATTCATCAAACAAAAATGCTAAACATGGTCTCAAATGTTCCAGCTCCTCATATGTGCTGCTTTTCTTGGTTTTCTAGCTTTTGAAAATTGTTGATTTCAGGCAGGGTCATGATCGTTTTTGAAAACACCAAGGTCAGACAGGCATCGTTCCCTATTATCTGCACTTTTATCGAATCATTATAGAACAGGACAGTCCAGGGACCATTTTTTGTTTTGAATGTTGCTCTTGACTTGAAGGAATAAGTCGATGATAAATAACCTTCAGCGGCTTATCGACTCTTTTCATTCGCCCTCGTAACACAATTACTCTCACAGCTCATCCAGGCTGCAGACACAGACAGTAAGAGGCAAAGGGGCCTTGGACAGTTGAGTGAGGCAGACATGGAGAAAGACAGAGTTTCCAAATGGGGAAATGGTAAAGTATTGTACCAGAAGCTTTAAACTATCGTATTTTAAGGGAAAATGATCATGCGAGACCAGAGTAGGGATGAGACGCTACGGAAAAAAACTGAGCTAAGTATTGTTGGCTGGAAAGACGTCACGTAAGAAAAGATGTGTAAACACAGACGTCCATCCATATCTTACTATCAAGCCGATGCAAAATGATCAAAATGGCAAACATCATGGAAATATTGTCATTATTGATCGTACATAGTTGGAAATTATCGTACGAACACGATAATTATCGAACATCTGGCAACACTGGTCGGAACACTTTTTCTTTCTTTAATGATGGATGAA